TTTTGACTTTCAAATTTTCCATTTAAAAAAAAATTAATATAATATAATTTATTTAATAAACCAATTCAACAAGATTTTTAATAGTTTTTTTAAACTTAAAATGGTATAGTATTTTTTTCGATATTTAAAAAGTATCGATAATGTGAATAGTGCTGCCGCTAGTTCTCCACCACTAATATATATTATTGTATAATGCAATATTCTATTTTGAAATTTTTGTTTTTCTTCATTTTTTTTTTGTTTTTTGTCTTTGATTTATAGCTAATTATTATATAGGATAGAATTGTTTAATTTCATTTTATAAATTGTATTGTATATATAGGACCATTTCTTAAGATATTAGAGCTATAGATAATACTTATTTTGTTAGGCTCTTTTATAATTTCTTTATAAAAATTTAAATTTAAATTATAAATGAGAGACAAGAAAACATAAATTTAAATTTTATTATAAAAACTGAATATAGAAATAGTAAGTATAATTATATAGAAAAATTTTTTTTTATTTATTAAATTTTTGAAATTGTTTTTTTTTTGCCTAAAACTGTTAGTTATCATTTTATGTATGTATATGTATATAGATTACAATTTGTAAATATGAAAATGTGTATGTATTCTAATGTTTATATATGATGAAATTTATTGTAATTATTTAATTATTATTATTTTTTTTAAGTTATTTAAATTTTCAATTTGTTAGTGTAATGCTAATTATTTTATTAAATTTTTTTTGCTTTTAAAATTTTCTTTTATTTTTTTGCTTCTTTTTGTTTGCATATAATTAAGTGTGTATAAAATAATAATGTTTTTATTATGTAATTTATTAATTTTTATTTTTATTCCATAATTTTATTCTAAATTATTAAGAATTTTTTTTTGTATCAAAATCTATTTCATAATTATTTAATTTTTATATTTTTTTTAATTTTAATTTTATAATTTTTTCATTTAGCTTTTCTTTTTTTAATCCTATGTAATTATTTCTTTTTCAAAAATAAAAAATAAAACAAAGGAAGAAAAAGTTATGGTTTTTATTTATTAAAAATAATGTTTAACTTTGCGTTTGTTTCTATTTTATAAAATATTATTATAATTATGTATGAATTTATTTTTAAAATAAAAATAAAAATATATTTAATAGATATTTTATATATTTATATAATGTTACTCAAATTCAATACACCAAAAATTTGCAATTCCTTGATATATTTTTTGTTTGCTTTTTAGTTTTTTTTTTATAGTTTTACTATAATTTTTTCGTTCTAGATATATATTTTTTAGTGTTATATTTATGTATATATACATATATAGATTTTTTAGCTATGTGTAAATGTATATATATGTTATATATATATATATATATATATATATATATATATAGATTTTATAATGGTAATTTGTTTGTTTGTTTTTTATTAATTCGTTTACTAAGTGATTGATTTATTTTGTTCTAAATACGTTTAATTTGGCTTAATAAAATTCTTTTTTGTTTTTTTTTTTTGTTTAAATTATATTAAATTTTTATTATTTTCCCCTATCAGATTTTTTTCTTAAACATTATATAATATTT